CTCCTTTCTTACTTTCTGCTGACAACTCCTGCAGCAGCAGTAATCCGCCCGGAGACATGAAGTCTCCATTAATGTTTTAAGGTTGACTGAGGCCTGCAGTGAAGTGGATATGGTGCCGCGGGCCAGTCTGTGTGGCGTAATGGTCTCGTCATCACTCAGAGCGCTCTCTCTCTCTCTCTCTATCTATCTCTCTCTCTCACTCAGCCATATTCCACCAGTAAATCATGGTGGACATGACAGAGTCTTTAAAATTGCCAGCTACTCCTGCTTTATGACATGGTTTGAAATGATGAGTGACAGTAAAAGAAGGGATCCAGGTCCAGGTGGGATGAGGATGAGGATGAGGATGAGGAGAAATGATGCCTCCCACCTGGAGCAGCAGTGACAGGAGAGAGCATCTTTACACCGTGTGTCTTATGTCCCAGTGTGGTGTTATGATAAGAATGGTATCCTGTGACTACTCTCTGTACAGTACTATATCTCCAGACCCACATCTGATTGGACCATAGTTTTGGCCCCAGGCTGCACATGTTGGACTGAGGGCCTAATTAGAATGGAGAGGGAAAAAACTTTTGGTTTTTTTTCTAGGACTTGTTCAAAGTGAAAATGTCTTTTAGGTCTTTTTTGACTAATTCAGTGATCCAATAACATACAATTCACTTTTCTTTCTTAAAGGTACAGTGTACCCTTAATTCAAGCCAACACTATTTACTTCAGTGGATAAAGTTTAAACCTATTCATGTTGATTTGAATAAAATAAGAGAAAACTTTATTTGTCCCCGGAGGGCGATTACTGTAACACAAAATAATTATAAATAGAAATAAACAAAAAAACGGGGATGATAAAAAATAAAAATATGTTTAATAGATATAAAATACAAATATTTAAAAAAATGTCAGGGTAGGTTAAACTTTATTAATTGTGTGCTAATGTGCCTCGCAGCGATCACAGAATCGTAGCGTTAAGGAACAAAACAACAGTCGACTCTAAATGGCTTAAATATGGCTGTATGCATTTTTTGTTGTTTAGCAACAATATAAAAATAATAAAGTTAGTGAGAGCCTGTTAAGGTTTATTGTCTGGACTTTCAGCTGATACACACTGAGTCTCCTAAATGTTCTGAGTGGGAACTTTAAAAACCAAGTAAATGTGCTCCCCTCAGCCTTGACACCGTGCCTGCTGGCAATTACAGCTCCATCGGCTGAATCATTACAGTAATTTGCTTACAAAGTGGTCTCCCTCTGCTCTACAGAGTCAAACCGCTCCGCCGTTTCCCTGTGGCATTAGAGCAGCACACTCACTTTTCCATGCAGTCGATATAAATGATCATCTTCTTCTGCTTTCTCTTACATCTAACTCTGAAGTCGTGTCCGCTCAGGTTTTACTGGAATGACGCTGGGCTGCAGTGAGGCAGAGAACCTGCCTCCGTCAATACACCGATACTGAGGGTCGGATGATACTCTGTAGTGCTGTGAAGGTTTTCACTGCCGCATGAGAGAGTGACCTCTTCTACTCTTCATAGACTAGAGTACAAAAGAATACAATTAGACCAAGTAATTACCGTGTTACCTCAGTGGTTCTGAAACTGCAGCGCCCCCTTTGTTAGATAGGATTATTGTTCAGCCTCTCCCGAGGCTTCCTGCAGTACTTTCCCACCCTCTGGGGGCACTGTTCCCCTTTTTTTAAAAACAAATATTTACCACTTGAACAGCACATTATGAAAACATAATTATAGAAATGAAATATTAAGTTACTGTTAAACAGGCTGTGTGTTCTGTTTCTATCTGAATGCCTGTGTTGACTTTATCTTTCTTTTCCATGGTTTTAAACAGCTCTGGGCAGGAAAGACCTGACGTCCAATTCTCCGTTCGGTTCCACCAGACCCTTCAAGGGGGAAGTCGAAGCCCACCCAAGACGTCTGAGAGGTGAGTTCTTTCGCTGTCCTTGCTCCCTCACAGCCTTCTTAGCTCCTCACTCCCTGCAGGCTGAGCCCAGTCGCTCTGCAGAGGAGGCGACCTCCATTTCCACATCTATTTATTAGAGACTCACATATATTACATATAATCATGGCTCTATTATGCATGTGCAGATTGAGCTGCCATTACCAAGACCTACATATGAATGAATGTCATGATTAGAATCAACCAAACAGATATGAACGTACAGAATGAATGGATGTGGATTAAATGCAAAAAGTGAAGCAAATACTGGAAATGTAACAGTTTACGTACTGCTGGGAATTTCTACTTTTTTTTTTTTTTCGTTTTTTTTTTTTGCTGTCTGCAGAATTACTCCTTTAGGGCATATTTTTAAAGTATAATTATTATTTGATAATTATTTAATACAACATAAAAACAGAATTACTCCTTTAGGGCACATTTTTGAAGTATAATTATTATTTGATAATTATTTATTAGGCAAACTCTGTCGCTTTAAGAAATGACTGGACTGCAGCAGGTCAGGATCTACATTCTAAAGCTCTATACTTTCAAGGGAGCCAGAATAGAGAGAGGACACCGATGCCATGCCTTAGAGGACAACAAGGCTGTCTCTCTCTGTGTCTTTCTCTGGTTTTATCTGAAACTGCAGCAGTCACTCGACAAAGACACTGTCATGCCCCAGAGTAAAAACTTAAATGAAGCAACTTAGGAGAAAAAGTTGCATTTTTCCCAAACTGACCCATTTTGTTCACATTAAAATGATGGTGAACAAAGAGCGTTTCTGTAGAGGAAACCCTTAAAAAAGAGGTTAAACAAGGTGATGACCAGCAAATGTTTTATATAAAAAACACAGAATCTGAATCATGTACAATCATGTATCATGAACAAATTAGAATTATAAAGACTAATGAATAGAGATGTAAACACTGAAATTTCCGTTTCTTAAAAAAATAAAATAAAATAAGAAAAAAGAAACCTTCCAGTGGACTCACCATCCGCAGGAAGGTTTGAGGGGTTGGTACGGTGCAGTGTGATTTGGGTGGCGATCATGGAGACTGCTGCCCCTGCGACCCGGTAACGGATAAGCGGATGAAAGTGGGTGGATGGATGGATGGAAGAAAAAAGTAAAAGAAAGAAACAAAGTTGCTGTGGTGTTGTACAAATCGAACATCACAGCTTGTCAGTGTTTTTTAATTCCATCAATTCCATCATCAATACCATGAAAGTGACTGTGGCCGAGGTTCTGGTGAGAGCCGTGAGCACCATCTAGTGTTGGCAGCACAGACACTTGGAGAAGATGAATGACAGCTGGGTCACAGACGTCGCCCTGGGCGTCACACACTGTGGCCAACAGCGCTAATTGAACTGATCTAATAGGTGGAGCCTGCACTTTGTCCTCAGAGAGTCCCGACCTCGGCATCTCAGTCAGAGGGACGTAGTCAGTGTTTCAACATGGAACATGAATAGAAGTCATAAAAGAGGCAGTGAAACAAACTAACTGGTGCTTCATCAACGACAAGTTGACAATCTGAACATAAAAACACTCTGTTTCCATCAGCAGCATTGATTAGAACAGGGAAAATGTCCACGCGAGACTAAAAATACTGCAGACAGAGAGACGTTGTACAAAGTTAATGTGTCACTAATGGCCACAACCATCAGCACTCCCGCATTATTGTCTAGTTAAATGGAAACGCCGATTTCTGCAGTCACACATCCATTTTTCTGGGTTGCCGAGGGAGAGCTGGTTGGAAGAAGCAATTAAAACCATTACAGCCAATTATATCCTCTGTCGTTTTTGATTAGACACGAGAGCACGTTGTCTCTGTGCAGAATGACAACCGGGCTGCGCGGCAGCACTAAATGGAATGTTCCAGACTGACACATGATGTGTAGGTGCTGTTGTCACTAATGACTGCTGTACTTCACACAGTAACTACTAGAACAAGGCAGTATTCTGATTGTGCTACAGTACAACTCAGAACATTCTTGGCTCTGTTAAAAAAAACCTAATATTTTTAGAGACATTTTATGATATATAATATAAATTAGATCTATGTTTTTCTGATCTCTTTCTTCCATATCTACCCTGCTGTCCTCTGTCTGTCTTTATCACACCTGTCCAGACTCATGAACAAATGAATCAGATCGTCAAAGTCCACAAACTGATCCAACCGATTTTTCTTTCTCTCCTTTCTCATCCTAAATCCAATCATCTCTGGCCCACAGCACACACACACATTTTTATAATTAGCTTGAACATTTTTTTAGTGTTAATGGAATCACCTTGAAACCCCATTAGCACTGAAATATATATTTTTTAATACAGGACCTAGGTAAATAGAAGGAATCAAATGATTTCCACCAACTCTAACACAGGCGTTCTGATTCTGACACATTATGAACAGTGTTCATCTGCATTTACACTTTTTTCTTGTTTTTTTTAAAAATTATTTTTCTGATACACTAATAATTAGGGGAGGCCTAATGTCAACTGTGTTAGGTAGAACCCTTACAGAAGGGTTAGGCAGATGGATTAAAGGAAGAGAAACTTTTACATCAACAAACAGTGTAGAATTCATCAGCCTGACCTCTTGTGATTAAAATAATGCACTGCAGCAAAAATGTTCAAGGTTATTTTCTATATATACATTTTGGTCAAGTTTTTTGCACAAATTAAATAAAATGATAATACTAAATTTGAAATCCAGATTTCTCCAAAACCCCAAAGGAAGTTCATCTATTGCCAAAGGGTCTGAACCAGACCAAGTCCTAAAACTCTGAATTAGAAACCAGTCGGAGTGGAGTTGTAATGACGTTGACCCATTTTTCCAGTGATTGTCTGCATCATTATGTGCCATGATGACAGCCATGGTGGAGTGGTGGGAGAGAGAGAGTGAAGTGTCACTGCCAACCCTTTAATTACCCTGAAAAATGTCTTTGTCTCCCTGAGAGGTGGCTGATGATCCAGAGATGGTACAGTATTATAAACGTTGGTTTGACGATGGCCACAGTGACGACTGCATCTTAATGTATTAGTTGGTAGAACGGTTGTTTAGGAAGCCACTGTACTGGCGAGTTCAAACGTTGGTGAGAGGTAGTTAGGATAACTACATGGCTAACTTGGTTAAGGTGTTAATAAATTGACTGGTTGGTGGAGGAAGTTAATTTGATGAGGTAAGTTATTAGCAGGATAGATAGGTTTGTTTTTCATATGGGATGGTTGATTGGTTGATATTCTTTTGTTGGTTGCTTAGTTGGATAGTCAGTTTGTCTGTTGGTTGGTTGTTCTGTTCTGTGATTGGTTAGTTGGGTTAGGGTTAGGGTTAGTTTATTTTGTTTGTGGAGGCAGTTTAGTTGGTTGGTTGGTGGTGAATTGGTTTGTTGTAGAATACCGTGCTGATAGCGGTGACATATCCATGACATATTCGTGCGTAAACATTATATATATGTGTCATACTATACAACATATTTTAATAAATATGTAAAGAAAACCTGCAGGTCAGTGTACACTGCTCATTTTTATGCACATACACGAATATTCACAAAGTCATTTGTCAAAATAAAACATTTTATAAATTCCACCTGCTGGCTTTCTGAATCCATTATTACCAATAATAGGAAATAAATGAGATCAAATGACCTTTCCCATGAGCCCGTGCTCCAGGTGTCTCCAAAAACATTTAAAACTCAGTCGTAATGTACCAATAAATTAGTGACTGAGCGACGTGCGGAGAATAACAGAGGCGGGCTAGCGTTAATGTTTAGGGTATATATTTATATATATAACAGTATTTATATTATTATGTATTATAATACAGTTGTTTATTTACCCTTCCACATACATTTACATTATCACAGTACAGTATGAACAGAAGACTCTACTCCTGCTGTCACTCTGAGTAATGAGAGCTGATCTACAGAGCTTGATTGAATTTCCACTGGGGGGGCGCGGGGTTGTGTGCCTTTTACAACACTGATGAACCTTCTTGTGTGTGAGCGCTGTCGTCTTTATGTGCAGCCAAATGGATTCTGTCATGTTTCAACACAGCAAACCTCCACATGTTACAGTAACTGCCGTGAATCTGTAGCTACAGACTAGTAGTTAAGCCACGCCCTGTCACCTGGACCGCCCAGGTGGTTGGACCCTGTGTAAATCAGATCATCTGCATGATTTTGGTCATAGTTCATATTGCACCTGTGCCAAACATTCATTGTTTAAATCAATTTTACAAGTAATATTCACCTTATAATTAAAGATGCATATTTTTGTGACATCACAGGAAGTGCCTTTTAAACTATGGAAACTACTAACTTCTGCAGTCAAATACATGAGCCATCATTGTATACATCACCCAGATGACAGTCCCTCAAAGAAACTACCGTTGATTCTCACATTTGGTGACGGCAGCAGAGAGAGAATGAATGTCTATTAATATGCTGTGAAAATGTCAATAACTAATCTGGTTTAATCCCGGCTGCTGATGTAATCCTGGCCTAATGTGATGCAGGGTTCTACAGTGATGTAGGACAACAGAAACACAGCGGTTAGAGCTGCTGCTGAATTTGTGAGCATCAGTTAAATACAAGTCCAGGCTGACTCAGTCTATCTGTTTTAGATCTAGCTAAAAACCACAACAAAACTTTGACATGATTTGTTACAGTTTCCTTAAAAAAGAAATAAAAAGTCCTTATATTTATAATAATTTATAAATATAAATTTTATCTGGTGATCCAAAGCAACTTCACTTCAAACCTCTTATACAGTATGTTACTCATGCAGTTGTAACATAACTGCAATGCTAGTAAAGTAGCAGCAGGGGGCACTACAATCATTACATTTTTTGGTGAAGTATAGGAGTTTAATTTTCTTTCTTTTTTACGTGTATTTATGATTAATCATGCATTTACGAGGAAACAAATTAACATTTTTCATTGAAAGAAACAACTTTTTTTTCTCATGTCCTGTCACATTCTAATTCACT